GCTGCCCCAAACTGACCCAGCCCCTGCTTAAGCTCGTGGCCCTCTGATTGACTATTTGTTTGCTGCCCCGCCCTGACCTAGGGCCTGGGCTGCCCCAAACTGACCCAGCCCCTGCTTAAGGGCCTGGGTCCCTGACAGACTAGTTGCTTGCTGCCCCGCCCTAACTTAGGGCCTGGGCTGCTATAGACTTTGCCTCAGCCCTTGCTTAAGGGCCTGGGTTTCGGACCTCTTGACTCAGCCCCTGCTTATGGGCCTGAGCCCCTAACCATGTGCCTGTTGTCCCAGACTGCTGCTGGACCAGAGCAAGGCAGTGGGACACCCCACAGCCCCGCTGAGGGCCGAACCTCGGCCCAAACCTACTACACATCCCAATATGCCGTTGGCCTTTTTAGCAACAAGGGCACACTGCTGACTCATATCCAGCTTCATGTCCACTGTAATCCCCAGGTCCTTTTCTGCGGAACTGATGCTCAGCCAGTCGGTCCCCAGCCTGTAGCGGTGCATGGGATTCTTTCTTCCTAAGTGCAGAACTCTGCACTTGTCCTTGTTGAACCTCATCAGATTTCTTTTGACTCAATCCTCCAATTTGTCTAGGTCATCCCTACCCTCCAGCATATCTACCTCTCCCCCCAGTTTAGTGTCATCTGCAAACTTGCTGAAGGTGCAATTAATCCCATCATCCAGATCATTAATGAAGATGTTGAACAAAACCAGCCCCATTGATTACTATCTGTTGAGCCTGACAATCTAGTCAGCTTTCTATCCACCATTAATTCTTACCTCATTTTTGAGAGGCAGGTGAACAATCCCAACTTGAAACGGAGACATGGAGAATAAGTGTCTTCCCCAAAGGTTGCAGAGAAGTAACAGAGCTGGGGATAGCACACAGGCATTTTAACTTCCAGTCCCTTGCTCTAACCATTAGAGGTGCTTCCTCTTTGTGGATGCTTTCAAGCACCGTAACAGTCAGACAGCACATAAATACTAAGTATTGCAGGAGCTGCTCCTTTGGGCAATAGTGGCAAAATATCATTTAAGATATAAAAAGGTCATTAGGGTTGACATAATTGAGCAATCACTGATAGGTGGTTGCTCAATGGATCTGTCACTATGATTTATTATGCTGCTTGTTTGCTTTAAATAAAACTGTAAACTTTACCCCAGGGAATTTTTTCCTAAAATGGAATATGGATGATGCTTCAGTTTTTGGAAGAAAAAAAAAAAAAACAGTATCCACGTATGCAGTGTTGGTGGACCTGCATTGGTCCCAGGATATGAGAGAGACAAAGGTGGGAAAAGTTATTGGACCACTTTTGTTGGTGAAAGAGAGAGGAGATTTTGAGGACCTGAAGAAGGGCTCTGTGTAACTCGAAAGCTTCTCTCTCTCACGAGCAGAAGTTGGTGCAATAAAAGATATTATCTCACCTGCCTTGTTTCTCAGAACCTGTGGACTCTCAGAAAAATAAAATTATATAGCTCCAGAGACATGAGGTAACAGAGTTCCACTTTAATCTCACTGCGTGGGACCAGACTGCAACCTGACGGACACCCCATATCAGTAGGGGGAGGAAGCCAGGGATAAATGAGCACATGGTAGCCTATAGTGTTGTACAAGACAGTCTTGCACCAATGCTATTTCAGTTCTTCTTCCCCCTCACTTGGGGGCAGGAGCAACTGATACAACTGCAGCTTCTTCACTCAGGGCCCTCTGCTTGGGTAAGGTAGAGATGAAAGGCTGAAGTCTCATTGGGTTACCTTGCAAGTTGTATCTTTGCTGTGCAGTTGCTCACCAACGGTAGCGGATCCAACACTCAGCAGTACCTGCCCCAGGGAGCCCAGCATTATCTCCTGCCCAGGACAGGTTTTACTTCCTGCTGGGCTGCCCCTGAGGCATGCCTTTGCACGCTGTTGCTCCACATGCCAGGGAAGGGCTCTCCCTCCTGCTGCAGCTTGCCGCTACTAGGAGACTCCCTTCTAATCTGCTGCAGCTCCAGCACCAAATCTCGCGGGGGGAGGAGGGGGAAGAGCTTCAGTGCAGCCCCTTTCCCCAGAGGAAGAGGAAGAACAGCAGAATCAATTGCTTGAAACTTAAGAGCACAGCCTCTCCCCTTCCTCTCTCATCCCAGCTCTCCCTTCAGTTGCATACGTGACTGGAAGGGCATAAGGAGGGGGTGGCGGAGTGCGCACTCGCAGATGTTGGAGCTCAGCACAGGCATTCATTCATTCCACACATGGGAAAATACTACTTCCCCTCCCTTCTAATAACAGGTGCATGGGGAGGCCCAGTCAGTCCAGTAGAGGACTGTGTTGGGGGCAGGGCCGGCTCCAGGCACCAGCGTAGCAAGCAGGTGCCTGGGGCGGCCAATGAAGAAGGGGGTGGCACGTCTGGCAGTTCGGCGGCGGGGCCGTCACTCCCTGTTGGAGCAAAGGACCTGCCGCCGAATTGCTGCTGTAGAATGAAGTGGCGCTAGAGCTGCTGCCAAATTGCCACCGATCGCGCTCCCCCCCCCCCGCTTGGGGCGGCAAAAACGCTAGAGCCAGCCCTGGTTGGGGGAAGCCTTACTGCTGTCAACCAATTATGGCTTAGCTAGACTGGCAACCCCCCTCCCCCACCACCTTTTGCTGTAAAGATGGTGGGAAAATAATACACTTAGGTGGATGAGGCCCAAGTCCTCCCTTCATATGCAAAGACCGCACCTAGACAGAGATGAGGAGCAGAGCTCTGGAGAGGGTTGAGGGTGGGCACCCCACCCTAACAAAAGGAGTGTGCAAGGTGGGCGAGGTAATATTTTTTATTGAACCATGGTTTGTTGGTGACAGAGAAGCTTTTGAGCCATACAGAGCTCTTCCCAGGGTCTGGGAAAGGTACTCTCAGCAAAATGCAAGGTGGAACAGATTGTTTAGCATAAAGTACTTGGCACATATTGTAAGGGACCATTCATAGAGTAGCCCATTAACACCTCTGCAGGCACAGGACAAAACGAGAAGGGTTAGTGGGTTACAGTTTGTTGTAATAATCCATAAATCCAGTGTCTGTTCAGCCCATGATTTTTAGTGTTTAACATGCTAAACAATCTGCTCCAGCGTGCATTTTGCTGTGAGGCTAGCAGCCCCACCGTGACCTGAAGAAAAGCTCTGTGTGGCTTGAAAGCTTGTCTGTCTCACTAACAGAAGTGGGTCCCTAAACCTCACCCCCTTTGTCTCACTAATTTCCGGGGACGGGCACGACTATAACTACACCACATGCAAAGAATAGTGTCAGTCTGCACAGTGGTTGAATCCTACGTGCGTGAGTGGACCCTACCACTACTTCCATCCCAGTAGAGCTAGTGCTATGGTGCAGGGCCCCAGGCGTCTCTGTGTGGCCTTGATCCAGCCCTGGGCCTCAGTTTGGTCCATCAGTGCTTTTCAACCTTTCCAGAATACTGTACCCCTTTCAGGAGTCTGATTTATCGTGTGTACCCCAAAGTTTCACCTCACTTAAGAACTACTTGCTTACAAAAATCAGACAAAAATATGAGTCTCACAGCACACTTACTGAAAAAGAGTAAGTGTTTTTACCATGTAACTATAAATAAATTGATTGGAATATAAATACTTACATTTCAGTGTATAGTATACAGAGCAGTATAAACAAGTCATTGTATGAAATTTAAGCTTGCACTGACTTCCTAGTGCTTTTATGTAGCCTGTTATAAAACTAGGCAAATACCTAAATGAGTTGATGTACCCCTTTGAAGACCTCTGGGTACCCGCAGGGATATGCATGCCCTAGGTTGAGAACCTCTCTGTTAAACTGCAGGAACAAATAGTAACTTATCTGCAAATCCCACGGCTTTTTTAAAGGGAAATCTAGGCCCGTGTGCACGCTCTCCCTAATCTCATGGGTGATTATTGGAGCATCCTACCTTTCTAGTCCCTCTTGGATAAAGCCAGTTTATTAGGCTGGCAATGGGGGTAGGGGAAGGAAAATCCTTCGAGTCTCAGTGGAGACTGAAATTAGAAAATCTGGTCCTCAGGAGCTGTCTGTGACCCCCACTACAAAGAGTCTGGAAGCCAACCCAGACCTAGCTATCTGTATGTGTTTGGAGAAACAGGCGGGAAAAGTTTGTTCCAAGTCCCCCCCCCCCCTTGCATTTCCAGGCAGTTGAGAGCCTCCTTTGAAAATTATTTTCTTTCCACACCCAGTTTGCTTCTGACATCATTCATCCAGGGAGGGAGGGCTGGAGAGAGCCAGAGTAAGACCTTCAAAACAACCCAGAGTCCTGCAGCATCTTCCCCTCGGATCTGCCTTGCTCGCCACCGTCTCCCTGCTCAGATCTCTGGGCAACTCCTGAGGCCACAATCAGCCTGTGAGTACCCTCGCTGGTTAGTGAGGGAGGGGTTGGTGGCGGTATTGCATTTTATTTTGAGATAAAGGTTTTGCAAGCAGTGCTGGCTGCCAGATGGGATTTAGTGGAGAGGGAGAGGAAAGGGATCTCTCCTCTGCTGGAGGGAGAGGAATTGCTTTTGCAGCAAAGAAAGGGAGAGACCAAGAAAGCAGAGGTTTGTCTAGAACAAACATTTCTAGAAATGGCACATCCACAAGTACTTTTTATTTAGGCTGCTGAGCTGGTCCTTCTGAAGTTGGCACTTAAAGAGGTGTTGCCCTTCTCCTGTGAAACACTGCCTCGGGGGTGCTTGAAAACTATTCACTTCCCCGGAGAATGGGGCAGCACTTTGGAAAGCTTTTAATTTCTCTGTCAAACTATCTTGCTTTTAGAAGAACAGGAGTACTTGTGACACCTTAGAGACTAACAAATTTATTAGAAACCTATCTTGCTTTTGAAATTTTAGACTTTTAAAAAAAATTGAGAGTCTTCAGCGGAAGATATTGCTCAGCCTATCAAAATCCAGGAGGCACTTGGGGGCAGAGAGGGAGGGCAGGAGAAACTTGAAATTCACTTTATTGCAAGTAACTTAAAGCCTGGACAATACAATTGTAAACTTTTTCTGGGATAGTCTCTTTGTTTGTGATTCACTGCGGGGTTTGCTAAACTCCAGCAAGACCTCAGGCTGATCTTGACTAGTGTGCCCCCCCTAGTGGAAGCACAAAATATTTAAATGTAATTCAGTACAGATTTTTGGCTTATGAAAGTCTTGCTGGTGTTAAATGTTTTTTCCTCTTGAACTAGACTATAGCTTTTAAAAGCCATCTGCCTTCCTACAGCTGCATGCTGGTGCCTCTTTCCAGATGTGCTGTCCTCTCTCCTTCAGAGGGACTAATTGTCAGATGCAGGCAAAGGGCCTTTAGTAATTTATGTTGCTCATAACCCTCCGTACTAAATGTTAGAAGTTGTCTTGTTTGGAGATATCTGCTCAGAATGTTCCACAGCCCTCCCCAATTCAGCCAGATAACACTCAGGAAGCTACTAACTCTCTGTTCATGCTACCAACTCTCTGTTCATGCTACCAACAAGAAATTTTCACCTGCACTGAGGCAGGACCAAGTAAACCTAGACCAGTGGTTCTCAACCAGGGGTATGCGTACCCCTAGGGGTATACAGAGGTCTTCCAGGGGGTACATCACCATATCTAGATATTTGCCTAATTTTACAATAGACTATATAAAAAGCACTAGTGAATTCAGTAAAAACTACATAACCTCTCTTTATTAACAATCACCCAAACCAGACTGCACACGCTACACATACAGTGCTCACCACTCCCCGTAAAACAGATAAACTTTTCTTGGTGGCCAGTCAGAATCAGGTCCATCTGGGGGACTCCAGTTTCAGCACAGTGTCATTGGCAGAGTGTTGAGATCTGGCAGCTCTGATCTTTGGGGCTATGTCCTGGAGTTGGTTTATAATTGTTTGTACTGCTCTATATACTATACAGTATACACTGAAATGTAAGTACAATATTTATATTCCAATTGATTTTCTAATTATATGGTAAAAATGAAAGCAAGCAATTTTTCTGTAATGCTGTGCTGAGTCACTTTTGTATTTTTATGTCTGATTTTGTAAGCAAGTAGTTTTTAAGTGAAGTGAGACTTGGGGGGTACTCAAGACAGATCAGACCCCTGAAAGGGGTCCAGTAGTCTGGAAAGGTTGAGAGCCACTGACCTTAACCATCCTTGACATGTATTTGTCCAACCTGTTCTTAAAAGTCTACGAAGATGGGGATTTGACAACCTTCCTTGGAAGACTAGAGTCTTTATAATCTTTAGAGTTTAAAAGTTTCTCCTAGTATCTAACCTAAATCTCCCTTGCTGCACATTAACCCCATTATTACTTCTCCTGCTTTCAGTGGACTAGAGAACTGATCACTGGCCTCTTTAACAGCCCTTAACATATTTGAAGACTTATCAAGTCTCTTGAGACTTCAAGACTAAACATGTGCAGTTTTTTTAACCTTTCCTCATAGGTAAGATTTAGAAAAATCTTATTTTTTGTTGCTATCCTCTGGACTCTTTCTAATTTGTCTACATAGTGCGGAGTAAAGAACAATTATCTACTGTGTCTTACATACAATACACCCCAGAATGAGATTAGTCTTTCACACAACTGTATCATACTGTTGGCTCATATTCAATTTGTGATCCACCATTACCTGGAGATCCTTTCCAGTTATTCCCCATTTTATATCTATGAATTTGCTTTTTCCTTCTTTGCACTTGTCTCTTGAATTTCATCTTGTTGAATTCAGACCCAATTATCCAATTTGTCAAAGTTGTTTTGATTCTAATCCTGTGCTCCAAAGTTCTTGCAACCCCCTCCCACCTTGGTGTCATCTGCAATTTTTAGAAGCATATTCTCCACTCCATTGTCCAAGTCATTAATTAAAATTTTGACTAGTACCAGACCCAGTACTAACCCCCTGAGGGGCTCCACTAGATACCCCCTATCAGTTTAACAGAAAACCATTGATAGTTACTATTTGAGTATGGTCTTTCAACCAGTTGTGCACCTAGTAACTTCATTGTTCTTACAGATTGTTTAATAATTGGTTCCAGTATCTTTCCAGGTGTTGAAGTTGGTGAATTCATTAATATGCAGTTGACATTGACTGCTTGTTAACAGGGTGTATAGAGACTTCCCTCAAAAATTTGATTGTGCATCTCTTAAATATTACATGAATGCAGGTTTGAAAGAAGCACCTCCTGCATTTTGTAGATGCCTGAGCATTCTGTTTATTTGCAACCTGGGTTCTCTGAAGCATCTGATGAGGTAGATAAGACTATTACTTAAGAGGATACCAGATACTCCTGTGGAATGGCTGTAAAAATGTATGCCAGATCTTTCTTCCTAAATGGGACTGAAAATCCACAACCTTATTTTCAATCTCGATCAACAATGAAAACCAGAATATTATACTCACTTTCAGACTCATCAGCCCGCATTAGTAGGACAGCTATACAGAATAGGACTGATCATCTGCCTAATGAATGCTCTGTTTATTTGCCAAACAAAATATTTGTAATGCATCTTCTGGAACAGCCTGACCTCCAGCTTTGGCGTCAGATGTTCTGGTGTCCAGGCAGGTGCTGCAGTTAGAAAAAGGAAGACATTGTGGACCGTCTTGGGCCAATAGCAGTCTAACATGACAAATGTCTTCAGAGATTAAATGTGGCATAAACATATATGGTGTAGTAGATCCATGAATCTGAGTGGGGGAGCAAACCAGATACTAGTGTGCTATCTTGGGACTTGCTTTGTGATTGCCATTAAAAAATGCAATGTTTTCATGCCAAATGAAATGCCAAAGGAATGCAACAATTGTAGGTTTCCCCACCAGTCAAAATGGGAACAGAAGCAATATGTATCTTTCAGATACATCTTAAATCCCCATAAACATTCATTATAATAAAGTTATCCGAAAACTGACATCCTTGTGCAGGGGAAGGTAAAAATTTGAGACTAGAGAAGAACTTGGAATGAAGAGTCACTGATGCCTTTTACATCACTTTGTGCACTTAATTCTTGTTTTGCTGTTTGGGATACCAAATTCTTGAAGGGGAATTCAAGATTCATGATTGCACAATGCTGGATGCATGCCAAGTTGTGCTTATGAACTATTGTGCTAACTCAGTGGTTTTCAACTTTTTTCATTTGCAGACCCCTAAAAAATGTCAAACGTTGGCATGGACCCCTTTGGAAATCTTAGGCATAGTCTGTGGAAGCCCAGAGGTCACAGACCATGGGTTGAAAGCCACTGTGCTAACTGAACAATAACCCCTAAAATACTCCAGGTGAAGCATCAGCATGCCATACGTACCTTTAGGGGATGATCAGTTTCTAGGTCATGTGTCTGTAGCATCCGAGATGCAACACTGGCTGATTTCAGTCAGAAGCAGCAGAATGCTGGTAGATAGAACCCTGCTAGTGACACCCTTCCTCTGCAGGCCTAGGAGAGACTTATTATAGGCAATAAAGCAGTATTGATTCACAGATCTACTGTTTGGTAATGTTGTTATGCTGTAAGAAAAACCTTGGTGAAAGAGGCTGGGGTTCTACAGACACTCATGGGTCACCACTGAGGGCAATTGGATAATGCCAGTAGACCAGAACTCTGCAGTTAAACTCTTCCTCATCTGCTGGTCAGATCACTGCTACTGTTGAAACCACAGCTGGCTCCATTAACTGAAAGGTGCCCCCACCCCCCAAGACTGACAATTCTGCGTATGCCTACATCAGCTTTACTTCCTGCACTTTTTACTCCCCCCTTGCTGTGTCAGGGACTCCTGCTTCATAGCTCCTTCTGTAGCCATCCCCTCACGCTTCCATACTTTTGTTTGTTGTCCCTACTGTGTAAAGCTGGCATGAGTCTGCCCTCACATCTGTTAGGATACGGAAGGTGCTCAGACACTAGAGTGATGAGGCACGCATAAGTACTAGAATGAACAAATCCCTCCTTAAGAAACACTTCTGCTAGACTTACCAGTATCAGTCCACCACAGCTAACAGTGCTGTTTCCATATCCACTTAAAACGGAGACCGCAGTGTCCAGTGAGGACCTCTATTTGGTCAGCTTGGATAAATTGTTTGTGTTACTTACACTGAGGCTGGCATAAAGTCTTCATTCGTGCCTCAAATAGCACCCAGCACCTTGTTAGTTGTTAAATATCAGCTTTAAATTCACTGGTAATCTTCATGACACCATCTAATTGAAAAGATGGTGGCACAGGCTGGCAGCTGATGTTACTTTGGGGTTAGAAGATCTGAAATATGGTTATTTGGCATGGGACCTGTCTTTCCAATTGCTACTGTGTCCTGTACTGCCTTGCTTGAAAAAGACCACTAAAAGATCATGAAAAAGACCACTGTAAGACCACTAAACTTAAAAAAAATGGAAGGAAATGCAGCAC